GCTCTTTGAGCCTTTGAACTGGCTGGAAAAAAGCCCAGTGCAGGATAGTCACTGCATCTGGCTTCATGGCCAGTAGCTGTTAGCAACTGAAGTCTGGCTTTGGGAAGGTTGTTAACCACTGGAGAACTAATCACTGCAGTCCCACAGCCTCTCTTAAGTATGTTTTTCAACTTTTATATGTATTTACAGGTTGCTTTTCCAACATGTATTTACTGTGAAGTGTCATGTCTAGATTAAGATCAACCTCTGCAGATATTTCCTCTTCTTAGCATGTACATAGAAGCTGGTTTTATTTTTATAGCATGATGCCATTAATTTCACTCTTAAATGTCATTCGGTGGTTTCTGTTCATGCTTTTTAAAGTATCGCATTACTTCTCAATTCAGGGGCCAAATAAGTAAGCAATGGGCTTGAACATGTGGGGAAAACTGACCCTTGCTGCCAAGGAGTTAAAGTATTAAAGTGCATAAGCCATCTCCTGTAACAGTTGTCAAGCTAATTTTCAGTAAATTAATTAGTCTGTGTGTTTATTATTCAGATATAAACCCACTGACTTGGCATGAAAATGACATTACACCGCTGTAATCGCAGATTAATCTTTTATAACTACAGTCACTACACCCACAAACTGCATCCTTCTAACAAGACTTCTCTGAGTTCAGAAACAGCAGCTCTTGGGCAAGTGAATTCACACTGCATTGCACCATCCAGTGATGAGGGAAACGTTAATGAGCACTGTTGTTCTATGCCTCCATGCAACTCCATAAAAATCAGAATATTTTTTAGCAAATAATGACTTAATGGAAAAGAATGCACTTAAAACATTGAATGAAATTCAATACAAAAGAAAATCACTGTCACCTTCATTGCAGATTATTTCTATAGCAAAAGATAAATGCCCCTTCTCTCCACCCAGTACATGGCAGCCAGTCTACTATGTAAAGTATCTGTCATAAAGGACATAGTAGTGCCTGTTGACAAATAGTTTTCTCTATATGGTAATTTCTAGCTTATGTTTAGATTTTAAGTGGTTTTAGAAGATAAAAGTGTTAAAAAATGGAAATAATTTAGTAACCTTTGAAAGTCAACAGCTGCTAGGAAATTTTAAATTCAGGTTGACTTTCCATTAGCCCCAAGTCTCATGTTGTGATTAAGTTGGAGATTGAGTCCTCGTATCATGACATTGCACACAGCTCTCTTGAGGGAGCCTGAGATGAATATACACTAACGTAAGATACTTCTTCACTATCCCTGGTTTCTACCAGTGAGAAAGCAAATTCTTGTCTAGTTTTATAACACAGGTGCCCCATTCTGTTAGTTCTAGTTTTGTTGAGGAAAGCAAAGTAAGCAGTGGAGAAAGTAAAATACATTGTTCTGATTTGTTCTTGTTGGGTTTTATCATTAAAAAAAATATTAATCAGGTAAAAAATACATCATGCAGGTTTCACTTTTTATTACTTTGCAGAAACCACATTCAATTGATGCTATAATTGAAGAAGAAACAGCAAATCAACTCATAGGACCACGAGTGTATGTTTGCTGTCAACAGAAAGACTCTCAGGGACTTCAATTAGTATTAGATTGCAGTCTTCATATTTACATTTAAAAGTATTCCCCTCTGTGTCCTTACGCCTATTCAAATTAAATAGTAAGATGAAAAAAGTATGCATGAAGTATCTGACAGACGGTGATTAAAGAAAGGCAATTCTGAGAGCTGTCACTCTGGCACTTCTCTCTGGCTGTGCAGCAGGGGGACAGTCCCTTTCAGTGCCTGGTCATCTTGTACCCAATCACTTGATGTGTCAAGAAGAACCAGAAATCTGTTCCTCTGCTTTCAAATGATTGTATGAGACAGAAAGATACAAAAAAGAAAGGATCTTTCAGTATGCAGTACTTCTGAAAAAAACACTACAGCTCAAACAAAAAACAGAAAGCAAAAAAACCTGTTGCTAATATCTAAATATTTAAATATTCACCTGTTGTTCTTCCACTATCTTCCTGAATTTTCTAATTCGCAAGAGCAAGTTATGGAAAAGCAGTAACTAAGGATGAAATGCCTTATCTGGATAAAACACCTTGTTCCAGTAAGTAGCATTTTCCTTTCTCTTTAGAATGAGTAGCCTTTATTCCACAAATTAATCAAATAGCTGCTGTTTTCCAGTAATTCAGGCTAGTCATAAAAGTATATTTAATTATTGTATAATCAGTGGCATAAGATAAATGGGTTCTAGACAGTTGCCTTTTCATGAAATCGGGCTTTTCCGACACTTTAAAATGCCTACGTGGACTCAGAGAAAGTTGTGTAACTACTCTAAAGCAGAAAAAGCTAGACAAATGCACGAGTAGTGGCCCAACTATCTTGATCGACAACATCTTTTGTGAAACACAGGAAACAAATATTAACTCCAGACTGCATGCAAAGCCAGATAGCAGATCCCTAGTTTGAGCCATTTTTCCTGCAGACCTTTTATACTTACAAATCCTTGTCTTAAAACACAAAAAAATATTATGAACTAGGTAATAATTGAACATTTCATACATCCATCCATCTATGTGTTTTAGAGTATAAGTACTGTATAATATCCCATATCCCAGAAAAGATCTCAAACAGATCAATGAATGTTAGAAATTGAAACAATTTGTATTATGGTCACAGTAAAGACTCAGTACAAAAAACATTTTATAATACCTAACTCCATGCAAGATGAATTTAATTTTTGATCTCTTTGCAGACGCACTTATTATTCTTTGAAAGGAAAAAAAATATATAATATAGAACAATAAGTATTTTCAATTTTTTTAAAAAAAGTTAACAAGACAGGCAACTAGAACATGGGTGTGCCTCATTAACTAATAAAAATGGTTATCAGCTGACAAGGATTTGACTGGTGATGTGAAGTTCAAAACTGCATGACTTGACTCTCTATTTCTGAACTCTGGAATACAAAATACCTTTCAAAAGAAAATAGCAAAGAACAAGAAAACCTTTCAGATCCCTCACCAGAAGACTGAGAGCTCCAGGAGAGCTCAGAGATGTGGAGTTATGAAAAAGCACTGGAGATTTGTTTATCAGTTCAAACTGTTGCAAAGTACTGTCCTGTTCTGGAAAGTGGCTTAATAAAGAAAAAAAAAAAAAAAACAAACAAAAAAAACCAACCAAAAACAAACCCAACAAAATTAAGAATGGCAGATTGTTTTCTATTAAGGGTTCATAGGTGCCATCAGGCAGCAGTTTTCCTTTGGGAACACAAAGAAACCATGGGACTTAAGGGCAGCAGTGTCTGCCAAACAGCTCAGCACGTACCATACAACATCATGCACACCATACCTGCTCTGCCTACTTGAACATCAAGGCAACAAATCTGTGAATCTGTCTCCTGTTTTTTACAAAATGGTTTTAGACACGTACTGGGGAACAATAAAGAGCTGTCTATAAGTTGTCCCATGTACAGGGACTGCTACTATTCCTGGTTTTATCTGAGCTAAAAGAGATTAAGTAGAAGTCTTTTAATGTCTCTCCCATATAAAGGGCAGGAATAAGCTCTTAATGACTGCTACCTTGCTCCGTTCCGGCAATTTCTGCCTTCATTTGCATTCTCTAAAACTTCGCAAACACTTGTGCAAATGCACAAAATGAATGTTGACAGCTAATGCAATGTTACTTACTACAAGCTAATGTGGACTCCAGGAACTCAATAAGGACTTTGAAAACTATTCTGAAATTAAAGCTTAAGACTTTCCTGGCTAGAACTTTTCTAACGTCAGCTTTCAAACCTTTGGATCTGAAAGCTATACTAGGTTCCTCCTCATTCAGGCATAGGAAGCAGTCAAAAAAGGCACTTTGTTCCAAATCTTTTAATTTGCACATGTGGAACAGAGAGAAGCAGCTGATCTTTGACCTGAATTTAATTAAACACTTTTCTCATTGACATGCAAGCTTCTTCTTTTCTAACAGTTCATTCACTGACTAAGAAATTATTTTTTCTGGTCGTTATCAACTTTCACAGCACTGTCAACAAGGTTCAGTACAGGAGAACATGCATTTCGATCACTAAAGCCAATAGATACCAGTGTAAATGCACATTGGCATCAGATTTGTGAAGGAAGGAAGCATTTTATCAGTTTTTCACTGTAAAACCACATTCTGAGCTTTAAATCAGCATAGAAAAGCCACTTTTGGTGGATTTATAGGCTCTCCAGAAGTGTTAAATATTTGCAATGAAAACTTCTCTCCCAACTTGCATTAAAAACCACAAGACATTCTGTGCTCACTTCCATAGGGATTTACAGAACCGCAGCAAAGAAAACTTGCTGTGAATCGCAATGGTTGCAAAACAAGCCTCCAGTCCACAGACTTCTTTGTGCTGGAATGGTGGTGGTGACTCTCTACAACTCAGACCAAATTTTGGAAGAAAAAGGCAGAGTCATGGAAGTGACAAACAGGATATATTTTTTATATTTTGTAGGAATCCTGAGAAATTGGTTCTTATCATTCAGTCAACATTCACAAGATAAAATCCTCTATGTGCACACCTTGGTTCCTATATCCCTATTTTGGGGTAGAAGGTTTTACTTCTTTCAAGTCAAATGAAAGCATAGACCTTTTCTTGAGACACTGCTATAAAGAAGACAACAGCTCAGCAAAGGAGTGTTAAAGATATTGTCTTCAGGGTTTTAAAAATTTCAGGAACAAGTCACGTCAGTTGATTTTAGTGTGGAACCTGGAATCCTGTTTATTATGTGGGGTTCATAAGGTCTTCAGAAGCAACCTCTGACAGCTAAATATTACTGTCATGTGAAAAGAGGGTTTTCAAGCTCTGGACCCTTATTATAATACCTACACTGCTCTCCTAGTTCTCTCCATGGATCAACTGATCTCCATGACACTATCACATTGGAAAATTGAAGTTATTGAAAAGATGATCAGAACACAGAGGTAAAACCCTCAAACCAAAACATAATGAATTAATTAATCAATCAGAAGTCTGAAAAAAACTTACCTTTAAAATTTGGTCTGATTCTAGCATCATACCCCGATGTCCTTCCCATCAATTTGTCCAAAAAATCTGAAGGAGACAGGGTCTGTGAGGGGGATTTTCCAGATCTTGAATCATGTTCTTTACAGAAAGTCGTCCTAAATAAATTATTAGCCACCATTAGCTAATATTTAGTTTGTATTGTATTCAGGTCATGGAGAAATTATAGCACTAAATAAAAATGTCTCAATTAAGTGAATGTAACAGTATTTTTACAGAAAAAATATAGTCTAGTTTTCATCATAAACCTTTATTCTAGAAATAAATATGAGCTTAAGGTAGTATGTATGGACACAATTTGCAATTCAGAAAAAAAAAAAAAAAAAAAAAAAAAAAATTTAAAAAGGAATTAATTACAGATTTAAGAATTTAAAAGATTCAATTTACTCTTCATCTTAATGTGTAGAGCAATCTTGCAGACACTTTGATATCCTATTTAGTATCATTGCTTTAATTACATATATGCTGTTAAAACTATATGTTAGCACTGGTTTAAGATGGTCTTAAACTTCCAAACAATAGCTGGCAAGATTCACCGAGCAACACTGAAAAATTTTGGTTTCGTTAATGTTGGGGAGGATATAAGTGCAAAAAAATGTATTTTACAGATGCTACCCAACAAAGATTTAAATCATGGTAGTGTCTGTCTGGATTCTTCCCCAACACTGCAAAAAGGGTTCCAGAATCAGTCACATCTGATCTTAGGGATTTTTTACCAATGAACATTAAGTAATAAAATTTATCGGTATTATCACCAGATGGTATTTATATGCAAGCTCTTGGAACACATCTCTTTTCAGGATTTTAGAGCAAACTTCTGGTACCATATCATACATTCAAAACTCTGTGTACATAGCATATAACATATTGCAAGCACATTACATATTTCAGAGAAATAGAATTTAGGAGTTTCTCATGGTTGTTCCCTAGGGAAAAAGAAACTAGAATTAAATGGTTATATCTGTTGTGTAAAAGCACAGATTTCATCATAAAGCATTTTCTTGATTCTTAAATAACCAATTTCATTGTGTTTATGTTTCCACATAATCTTTGAGCTATATTAAAAGTAATTCTATGACTGTGTTTTCTATATATTTGCCCAAAAGAAACTACTCAGTTTCAGGAGTGTTTCATGGGTTTTCTTCGTGCATCTATACACAAGAATAAACAAATTAGATATACATGTGAGCATCTGAAATGAGAAGTAAATATCAGACCCTTTATGCCCTTACAAATGCACTAGAATTGTTAAAATGCAAGGTGATAGTAAATTCTCGTGGTATGATTCCCCGCGGTTTTTTCAGGTTCCATTTACTGGGGACAGTTGCTTCTTTTTGCTTTTGTCAATGACATGGTACCATTACAAAATATCTCTAATTTTTAATAAAATAATAGATTATATTCACCACAAATACTAAAACCATTCAGTTAAGATAATAAAAACTAGAAAATTAATCCAATGCACTTATTTGGGATGTTTCTGTACAAATTACTTCTGTTTTCATTCAGAGCCCACTAGTTACAAGTTGCGTTGTGATCCCACCAGACTCACGAATACAAATGCTATTTCACTTTGTCACTGTATATATACCTCATTGCTCGTATAAAAACACTTTATATGTGTACATGTAGATACAGAGCAGTGTACAGTATAAAAATGAATCTCAGCTAAAATGGTGTTTTGGTTAATAAAGAAGGCTGACTTGTTTGCTCTGCACCGCAAATAGTCAATAGCTGAAGCAAAAGCTCTTGAAATGTTAAATAAAAATTTAACAACAATCATACGTGCTAGTATTTTAAATGAGCACAATACTGGTCTGATCCAGGGTTTTCCCAAAATCAGAGGGCTGGTTCTGTAATTTCAGATAACTACATCACTGACAAAACCGGTTCAATCGTTTCCAAAGCCTGAAGAGGAGGGAACCAAAGCAACTTCCTAAACAACCTCCAGTGGGAGCAGAGAATTAGCATTTTGGAAGAAAACCTGAAGAAAATGTTTTTAGCTATATTGATAGTGAAAAATCATGTCTTTGAATCACAGAAACAGAAAATAGATCACCCAAACTTGAGATTATTATTTTTTGTGTTTGTTACCAAGCAACGAGTCTCTGAGTGTAAAAGGGATAGCCTATATAGAACGAACATTAAATACTCTCAAATATAGCAAACAAACTAGGTTAATGTGACGTAGTATCTTTATAGTTATGATTTCCACAACCTTTTGACAAATATCATCACATAGCGTTGTATCACCTACCTGAAGTGGTTTGTCTCTAAGAAAAATGCAAACAAGGTTGTCAAAATTTTCACTAGCTGCCGGTTCATTCCTCCTGCTTTCTGTGATGATTTGGAAAATATCCCAGAAACGATTCCAGAGAGATGCAGGGGAAAAGTAAGCTGGTGCTGCCTAGATTCCCAAATTCAGCAATAATTTATTTTTCTTGACAATCAGGAAGAGAAGGTTTGGATCTCTACAAACTGGGGGTAAAAAAGAAGTGCCAGTCCTTGGAATCATGGTCAGGTCAAGCCTAGGCTCATCTCCAGCAGCCAGCACAAAAGAGACAAAGCATCAGAGCAGGTCGTTCCCCCGCCTCGCTTTTGGTGATGGAGGGAAAAAAAAAAAAAAAAAAAAAAAAAAAAAAAAAAAAAAAAAAAAAAAAAAAAAA